GGTAAGAGAGGTTTAGGGTTTATAGGGATTAGGGATTGAGGATGAGGAATCATAGGGTCGGGAGCTCAGGGTTTGAGAGATTTTGCACTTGGGGTTTGGGCTTCTCTACCTTGCAGATCTGAAGCCACCGCACCCTTTACCACAAACACCCAACTTCCAAACCCTCAGCCTTGAATTCAAACCCCAAGCCCTAAACCCCAAATGTCCGCACCCCACCTTCAGCATGGAACCTCTGATAGTTCCTCTGTCAAAGGACAATCGTCAACAGTCTTTGTTGGGCCCCTTCTGGGGAAGGGTCAACCCCAAACCCCGAATCAATTACAAAAGCCAGCAGGAACCCCAAATCCTGAGGCCAACCCCAAATCCCGAATTCCCAAGACCAGGGCCCAAAAGATGGCAGCTCGTTTGGGCTCTTGCGTGTGGAGATCCGCACGGGCCGAAGGTCGGAGGCTTCTAAAATCAAATCCAAATGAAGCAGAATGAAGGGTGACCGCAGGCACGCTTCTGAGCATAAGGTAAGAGGCAGAATTCAGGGTTTTTGTTGAGTTTATTTGCGGTTGTTAGGGTCTCGGTCGGGCTTCTGAAGCCTAAGCACTACATCCCAAAACCGAATTACTAAAGACTTGTGAACCTTAAACCGCAAATCCCCTGAAAAGGCATCAGATTCGAAGCCACCTGGCGCATGTCGGCCACCCAGTGGCCTGCGATGGCAGGTGGCGGGATGGGAGGTTGTGGGGGATGAAGAGTGGTACCTAAGCCTTAGAATGCCAGGTATACCTCGCAAGAGACCTTCCAAGAGGACTCTTACTGGCTGCCGCGCAACGGCCTGCACCGCTTGCACGTGGCCTTCAGGGACCTCAGCGGCACCTGGCGCAACGTCACAGAGCCTCCTCCCAGTGATTTGCTGAAGCCCCTGGAGCTGATTTCCTGGGAGAGGCATCCTATGCCTGAAGACATCTGAAGCCCTAAGCCGCGTTTGAAAAAAGGCAACCTCAAAGCATCTCAAATAGCTTGAATCCTGAAGCCTCTCTCTGAGCTGATTTCCTGTGACAGGCCCCGGGACTTCAACTTGAACCTCTTGCGGTGGACCAGAGCACCTCCATGTGGTCATGCTCATGATGAATGAGAACAAGTACAACGAAGGGGTGTGGGGTTCAGGGCCCTGAGCCAGTCTGAAATCTTCAGCTACCTGACGCTTGGTACGGTGGAGGCATGATGCTCCAGCCTGCTGGTCCTGAAGAAGAACGCGGATGTTCGCTTGCATTGCCAAGATGAACAGTCATGCAACATCCAGCATTCAATGTGACGAAGAAGTTGAAGCAGTTGGGCAAAGCAAGAGCTTCGATAAAGGCCTAAGTGATTTTTGCTGCCCTCGTGCTTGATGGTGGCATGGCAAACATGGGACATGCAGCTCCTCCAGAATAAGGTTGTCAAGCTTGATAGTTCTGGCCATGGGGCAGCTTTTGATTGCATACTGCACGAGACCCGTAGCGAGGAATGTGGTTTCTATCAGGCTTATGGCGCATGGGGGCTGGTGATGTTGGTGTCCCAAGCATAGTGTCGCCTCATTTTGCTAATATCCTAAACTCCAAGCCACAACCTAAACCCTACACCAACCAAACCTCCGGGCTTCAGGCACTTTCGTCACTCGCGCCGCCAGCCCACGCCTGGGCTGGCTAATGCGACAAACGCCTTGGGCTGCAACACTTTGCAAAAAGCCGCTCAGGGAGCGCTGAATGCCTACGGGAGATGCTGTGCAAGGGCTTAAGGCTTTGGAGAGTTGAGGGCTTCTTGTTCAGGGCTTTGGTTTTTTTGGTTGTAGGGTTTTCTACAGTTCTCCATCTAGGGCCTAGGGTGTAGGGTGTAGTATGTTGTTTGATTTAACGATCGCCGTTCATTATTGGGGATCAGGTGGATGTTTTCCAGATGTCCTGCTGCAGCAGTTACAAAGGGTTTCTGTGGGTTTTGTACTTAGCAAGACCCAAGGCATGTATCAGGCCTGATTTTGGTAGACCCGAAATAAACCCTAAGCCCTGAAACCCTAGCCCCTATGGAGCTTGAACCGCCCGTGGCGTCATCCTTATATAACCAGAAGCTCAAGCAATGTGTTCAACGATCTTCCTACCCCAAAATAAAAACCTCATCGAACCACACAATAGGCCTTGTAAGCCAATAACATTCTTGTGGGGTATACATGGGGTTCCACGTTTGGGGGAGCTATGGCGGGTAACATGCTCCTTTTATCTAACTTGCCTTGCCAGTTGACAAGGCCTAAGCCCTAAATCTTGCACTCTTACACTCTAAAGGGAAGGAGGGAGCTCACCTATACAGAAAGCAAGGACCATATTTCTGGTACGCTGGTCTAGCATATGTTTTTCAAGCTCCCTACAGACTAGCAGGCCCACAATCAGGACCCTGATGTAGGCGCCCCAGTTTTCTGGGAAGACACAATAGACCATGAGAGCTGGAATGTTTTAGTTTAAAAAGGGATGTTGGCATTTTGGACGGTTTAGGCTTACGATTTCGGGTTTAGGGGCTTGGGGATGTTTAAGAACAAGGCTGCTCATTTTGCGGAAGTGCGTGCTGCCGTCCACAGCTTTCAGCATCCATTCAAGGAGCCCCAAGATTTCAGCCACACCTTACCGTGCCGGCCAGGCAGGTGCAGGAAGGCCGCAAGAAAGTGCAAGCATTACGTCTACAGCACAAGAGCAAGACAGAGCCACAACCACCTGCCCACCTGAAACCGTGCGATCTACTGCTCTCATAAACCTCGGTGCGCCCGGTGTGCGGAGCGGGGCGTCTACGGAAAACACCAGAAGCCGATGGTAACACAGAAGCCCCGAAGCTTACTCCTATGTACTGCTCAGAGCCCTTCAAAAGCCCATGCCAGAACCTGGAAAAAGTTCAGCAACAAATTCTCCGACTTGAAGCCTCAAACCCATTAGCCTTAAACCCCTGAAACCTCGGGTCTGGCCATAAACAGCTTTTTTTCCCATGCCGCAACGGCGTACAAAGGCCTTGGTTGCTGCGGTTTCGACTTTTGGGTCGGGATTTGGAGGGCTTCAAGAGGCCTAGGGCCTAGGTGCTTCAGGATTCAGGCTTCAGGGGTTGAAGGCGATTTAGGATGCACGGTCCTACCTGGTTTTACAGGGGATGACGTGGTATTGTCAGATTAAGGGATGTGAAGGGTTGGGGTGCCGGTGGTGCAGTTTGGAGGTCTGGAGCGTTTTTTTCCACAGGGTTTCCCTCGACAGACAAAGCTTGCTAGGGCAGAATGTGCCGTGCGCAGTGGTAGCAGTAGCAGTAGCGCCAGCAGGAGCACAAGCAGTAGAGGCATCAGCAACAGTAGCCGTAGCAGCTGGTGGTGTTGGTGGTGTTGGTGGTGGTACTGGTTGTGGGTGGTTTTGGTGCTGCTGCTGGTGGTCATCGTCGTCCTCCTAGTAGTAGCGTGAGAGTTCTCAAAGGTATACCGAAGCCGGGGGGATGTTTGGAGAAACTCTAAAGTGGGGCTGTCGCAAAAGTGCCCCCAGAAAGTTTGGGACCGGGTATCTGCCAATCACACTATTTCCGGGGGTTCCTATAAACTGTAAAGCCTAAACTTCCAAGTTGAAGCCGAAATCCTGAATCTTACGCCCTCTCCTCCATACTCTCAAGCCAAGTTACAACGCCTGAAAATACTTCTGATGCTGCCCTCCACCCACCATTTGCGGGCGCCTAACAGGTCCCTCGGAAAGCCAAAGCCAAGAAGAAGCCACAGAAGCCAGGCACAGATGCGATCCTCCCAAGGGATTATCTTTTGTGTTGGCTTAGTGGTTGGGTACTGGCTGAGGAGGGCCGGGGCTTAGGGCCAAAAGCTTATAGGGTTTGGGACATTTTGAGACTTAAGATTGGATTAAGGTCATGAAAAATGCGTGCTCGCACACACGCAAATGGAGTGACGGGTCTGGGGCAACAAGTCTCCCATTCAGCTTCTGTTTAGGTGCATCCAGAATCAGGCAAGAGTTGGGTGCACGAGCTGAAATCATGAGGGGTTCCAGGAGTTGTTAGGGTTTCGGGGTTTAGTATTTGGAGTTTACGGGTCGAGAGTGTATGATTCCGGGCCAGGGGTTTAGGGTATGCTCGAAAGGCGCAACCATACCCTAAATCCTAAACCTGAAGCCATAAAGTCCTACAGACTCTAAACTCCAAAAAGAGGCTCGTAAAGGGAATTAAGGGAAGTATTGCAGGGGTTATTGAGGGGGATGCTAATGGTTTAAACCCTAATTCCCATGATAAGGGCCATTAAGGGGGATACTAGGATTTAGACTATAGCTCATATTGTCCTGGGATCCAATGCCACGCCACAGTTCGCCGAAGCTCCACCCGGAGTTCAAGCTACACTGGCAGCAGCTATGGCAGCGAGGTGCGGCCCCCCACACTACTGACAGACATGGTAGTTTCGCTAAATTAGGGGACCCCACTATAGACCCCAATATACTATAGTCCTTGTTATAGGGACCCCCAAAAAGGTACCCCTAATTTTGGGAAGCTCCCACATCTACCTAGAGATTCTGGTTGACTGCGATTATGGTATATTATATTTATGATATAATTGTAGGAAGTTAGTTTAAAGTTTGCTCTTCCTAACAGCGCTTAGCTCACTTAGTTCCACGTATTCATGATTTGGTGTCTGGGGGGCTTTTGGGGTATTAGGGGGAGGTCATGATGTATCTTTTTTTTGAGCTTCAGCTTGGTCACTCACCGCTCAGAGCTGCTGTCATATTTTGGTTTTAGAGGGATCTTCAAGACCGTAATGAATGAGGAGAGGTGCAAGTGCGTCAGATTTACAGGGTCTCGGCGTTCAACGTGCGGGGGCTTGTAGTCGGCCGTCCCAGGGGGTGTAATTGTGCAGATGACCGCGGCCTCCTATACCATAGACCGGCTGCGACGCTGGGAGGATGGGGAGAGGCTTTCACTGTGGCAAACTCGCCAACGGCCTCAGCGTGGGCAGCGTGGCCAGCTTACCAAAGCTGAGCGGCAGGACATCGCCGTTAGCCTGGCCAGGGAAGGCTTCGACAGTAAGGCCTGCTCTGCCCTGCTGGCCACCGGCCTGGCCCCAGAAAACGCTGAAACTGTTGCTGCCCTCCGGAACTTGCATCCGCAACAGCCTGCGCCTGCTGTCCCTGAGCTGCACGAGCTGCCGCCTGCCCCGGAGCTGGTCCCTGACACTGTTGGCAAGGCACTGCGGAGCTTCCCTGCTGCTTCTGCGCCAGGGCCTTCCGGCCTGCGAGCCCAACACCTTCGAAAGGCTTGCAGTCCTGGAACTACTGCTGGCTTGTTGGAGCAACTTGCAGCTGTCGTCAGCCTCCTGGCTAGTGGACAGGCGTGCGCTCAGGTTGCGCCAATCTTGGCTGGTGCCTCCCTCGTGGCCGTGCCCAAGCCCAAAGGCGGCGTTCGGCCCATTGCTATTGGGGAAATCCTGCGGGGTTTGACCGGCAAGTGCCTTATGAGCCATGCCCGCAGCGCTGCTCGGGACCATGTCTTTCCCAACCAGCTTGGAGTGGCGGTCCCCGCTGGGGCTGAGGTGGCCGTGCACACCGTTCGCGGCTGGCTTGACAGGCACTCCAGGAGCTCTGGCAAGGTGCTTGTTAAACTTGACTTTGAAAATGCGTTTAACCGTGTCAGCCGCCAACAAGTGCTCCTTGCTGCCCAAACCTACTTCCCCTTCCTGGCTCGTTGGGTGGCGTGGACCTATGGGCGCCCGGCTGACCTGCGCTTTGGAGACCTGCCCTCCAGTACGGGCGTCCAGCAGGGCGACCCGTTGGGCTCCTTGCTGTTTGCAGCCCCTCGTTCTGGAACTCCGAACCGGCATGGACCTCGACCTGTTCTACCTTGACGACGGAGTCCTGGCTGGGGACATTGTGGCTGTCCGTGCGGCACTGGCGACTGCCGTTGGCAGGGCCGCTGAGCTGGGCTTGCGCCTCAACATTGCCAAGTGCGAAGCAATTGCTGTGGGCACCACCACTGTGGGAGATTTGCTAGGGCATCTACCCAGCGAGTTGCTCCGCGCGCCTGATGGCCGCATCCGGGTCCTCCGAGACTTCGAACTGCTTGGTGCTGCTGTGGGAGTCGCTGACTTCACACACGCTCACAGCTCCAAGCGCGTGCAAGTCGCTAAGGAGCTGCTGGATGCCATCGGGGAGCTGGAGGATCCCCAGGTCGGGCTTCGACTGCTGCGGGCTTGTGCCGGGCAGTGCAAAGTCGTCCACAGCATGCGATGCGCCCCGCCTGGGCCCCAGCTGCGGGCCTTTCAGCAGTTTGACAACTTGGTGCGAGGCTGCTTTAGCCAGCTGACAGGCCTCCACCTGGATGTCGAGCAATGGGAGCAGGCTGGCCTCAGCCTCGCTCAAGGCGGGCTCGGGCTGCGCTCGACGCGGCAGCCGCCTACCTGGCCTCCGTGGGAGGATGCGCCCACTTGTGCGGCCAAGTGGATGGCGGCTTCGACCTTCAGCTGCCTTCGAGGACTGATGTTGCTGAAGCTTTGGGGATGCTAAACGAGCGAGGCGCTGCTCCCCTCACGGCTGCTACCGCCTTGACCTTGAAGCAGAAGGAGCTCACCACGTGCACTGACAAAGTTGCTTGGGAGCGCCGCTTGGCCAACTCCTCCATCACTGCGCAGGCCATCCTTCGCTCTGAGGCGGAGCCGGGGGCCCGAGCGTTCCTGGCGGCAGTGCCGGTCGGGCGCAAACGTATGGAGCCAGCCGTGTTCGTTGCAGAACTCCGACAGCGACTCTGCATGCCGGATGCTAGCAGAGACGTCTGGTGCCCGAGGTGCGATGGCATCCTCGACAAATTTTCTCTCCATGCTGGCCTTTGCCCGGCGGGAGGGGAACGCACTCTCCGTCACCATGCCCTGCGCGACCTGTTGTGGGTCTGGACTGAAAGGGCTGGGATGCAACCTGAGCGCGAGAAGCCCGGATTGCTACTGCCTCAGCGCCCGGATGAAGGGGGCCTCGCCAGACGCAGGCCAGCTGACATCTTCGTGCCGTCATACCTGGGGAGCCCTGTTGCCTTTGACTTAGCCGTTACCGGCCCACAGCGACAGGAGACCCTCGGGGAAGCAGCTCGCAAGAGTCTGGCTGCAGCCATATCGTATGCGGAGGTCAAGCGCTCACACCTTGACACGGCGCAAACCTGCCAAGCTCAGGGCATCCGCTTCCTCCCGCTGGTGGCAGAATCTACGGGAGCATGGGAGCCTGAGGCGGCCAAAGTTTTGCAACACATCTCCGGAGCTGTCGCTGCGCGGGAGGGGGCTGAGGCCTCCGTGCTCCATTCCGAGCTCTTGCAAGAGCTGTGTGTCACTGCCCGCAGCTTCCGCGCCAGGGCTGTGCTCCGCAGGCGAGCCGAACTGGCCGAGATGGCGGGCTCTCACGAGGCCCGTGCGGCGGCTGGCGCCCTATTCACGGCCTCCTGAGCGGCCAGAGGCTACTTCAGCTTGGATGGCGGGGGAGTGCCTGTGCAGCCCATTCAGTTTTGGCCGGCTGGGCAAGGCCATGTCATAAGCAGCAGGGCTGCGGATGGGCCTTTGGATTCTGTCCTAATGGTTTGGGACAATGTGAGCGCAGTAAGCCTTTCAATGGCCCCTGAAGGCCCTACGTAGACTTTCAGTCGGTGATGGGAGTGCCTATAGACGCTTCATGCGGTGTGCAACGTGCACTGTGTGAGCGTGGCGCTTTTGTGGGCTGGACGTCGGCTCCCATAGCTGTCATTACTCTAGTCCATCCTTTTTTGTCTGAGGCTTACCAGTAGCTCCAGGCGATTGTTTCAGGTAGCTCTTATGAACCTTCTCACAAGTGAGATTCAAGAGTGTGCAGATGATTGTCCACACAGTTGAGGCTCTACCCTCTACCCTCCTTTCATCCCAAAGTATACCCTAAACATAACATACGCCGCCGTATTCTAAGTACTTCTGCTCGTATACCAGTCATATTCACTCCTCCACTTCCACCCCCCCCCCAATAATGGAGAATCAAATGGACAAGAAAATGGAACAATGAAACGGAAACTGAGATTATCATGGATATAATATTGTTATTTTGGGGTTATATATGGATAATGGAAAAGAACGTGGAAACTACAGGGGGACCCCTATATAGACCCAAATATAGTATAGTCCTTATTATACCAAAAAAGTACACCTAATTTTGGGAAACCTCCATATAGGATAGTCCAAGCAGCAGCCAACTGGAAGGCCAGCTCCTCGCCGGAGCACTCCGATGAGGATCATCCCAAGGAGTACAAGCGAGGAGGCCTGGGATGTGCTAGGTTTTGGGTGGGAGGGGGATTATATAGGGTTTAGGGTTAAGGGTTGGGAGTTTGGGAGTTTGGGAGTTTGGGAGTTTTAGGGGTTGGTAGGGGTTTAGGGATGGGTTGTTTAGGACCTATACGAGTTTTCGGTTCAGGGTTTTGAGGGTAGGGTCTTTGGCTCAGGTTTAGGAGTATCCAAGTTTGGTGGTTTACACCGGTGTACGCAGGTTTAGGACAGTGCTTGGAATGCAAGTGGGGGCTTGGGTTTTGGTCTCTGGGCGCAGAAATTCGGGTGTAGGGTTTGGTGTAGGCAGCCTGCGGATTCCACAGGCTCTGCATGAAAGCTTCGCTTTGAGCATTCCTTCTGTCGTGGGTTCTATTCAATTTTCAGTCCTTAGATGTCCTTTGGCGGGGGGCTAAGGCAAAGAACGTTGCAGCCCTAGCGTGGGCTAACAGGCGTAGATGGGATCAGATCATTCGATGCACGGCTTGCTAGGGCACACTCGCTCATGTCCAGGGCCCAGCCCCTAAGCCCGAAGCCCCAACTACAGTAGCAAACCTGAAAGCTTAAGCTGGGCACCGCGTACCTCGAATGTATGCAGAACCGTTTACATTCGCACAGTGATGTTTCAGGGTTTGAGGTTTGGGGGTTCGAGGTTGAGGCTTTATTTGATTGAAAGTGTAAGAACCTACCGACATCCGTTGCATCCCACTCCGAGATTTCCACCACTTGCGCCAGGGTATCACCCCGTCATGCCCTACCAGCTCTACAACGCCCGGTGAGCATTTTGGGTTCAGGGTTCCCAGTTTGCCTTTCTTGGGACTGCGTGTCAATCTGCCTTTCTGGCAATTATTAGTGGATGAGAGCAAGGGCTGTAGGGGTTGTCGATGTCATTACGTCCGGATCCATGTTGGGCTGCTTCCCCAAACTAAGTTCCAATTTCCGTGCCGATGCCGTGGTGCTAAGGCATGCTTGGACGTACATGTCTTATGCTTGGTTACGAGTTACAAGTATGCTTACGCTGCTCTGTTTCACAAAAAAATTTCCGAACCCCGAATCCTAAACCATGAAATCCAAACCCAAAATCTGGAGCGGAAAAAACGTCAGGTGATACACCTCCGAAACCAAACCGCCCCAAGAAGGTATCGCAAGCGGTTTCTGAGGTACCGAGTCCTGAGCAAGCTAGGGGCTGGTGCCTTCTCTACCGCCGCTTCCCCAACCGCTGAGCAAATCATGACGACCTGACCGAAAGTGGAGGTAAATCGGTCAAAAATATTAACCAGTAAGACGGCTTGGCTTTTGGGGTCGAAGGCTCGCCATTTGGGTTTAGGGTTTAGGGATCCTTCCCACGGCCGACCGGAGTCATTCTTGCTTGTAGGGCCGGAATCCTCGAAAACTGTATTTTTGGCAAGAGGCACAGGTTTAACAGCACCATCAGATGTTTTGGGTACCTAGAAAGCTAGAAGATCCCTTGTTTCACTAGTGCTTACTGGAACATGGCAAGATTTTGGGGACTATGAGAGTGTATGGCGTATGGGTTCCTAGGGTCCTAGTCCTAGAGGATTCATTCCCTCATTCTCAAACACGAACCAGGTAACCAAGAGGCAACCCCTAAACCCCAAACCAAACCCCAAATTTGTGTCGCGTTTCTTTGTGGGGCTTAGTAAACCACAGCCACATGGAATGCTACTTCCTCTACATAATTTCAACTCTCTTCTCTAGATCAGCCCTAGCGGCCTAAAGTCTTATGAAGCCGTTGAGCCTTGAGACACCCAAGCCTTGCAACCTCAATCCTAAATCTGAAGCCATATATGCTCCAATTGCTGAGCCCTGCAAAACCCTACAAACCCCAACTTCCTAAACCCAAAGCCTAAGCCCTCTATGTTCTTAGTCCAGGTCTGGCTCTGCGCAGATGAGAAGGAATCGCAGGCCAAGCAGTAGCCTTCGTGGCCTTTAGCATTCTCGTCTATGCCCCAAAATGTGGGACACAGTACCCTAGCCCTAACCCTTCTCTACATCCCTGCATCTATGGATATGATACAGGGATATGTTTTGGGTTACGGCACCCGTACGGGCCCGTGTGTGTAAGCACATTCCTACGTATGAGATCTGAAGTCAACGCGCGAAACTATGGAAAAAGCACCCATTTGCACGAAAAGGGTCGCAATTTCAGGGAGCAAAACACCGTAAGGTAGCCCTCCGACGTCTGATTTTGAGCATTCTGCCATGGTTGCAAGCGCATTTCGCAGCGCGGGGCCTGCGGCGAAAGCGGCATTTTCGTTCACGCGGCTTTTGCTAGCTGTCCAAGCTCGCTTAGGAGCTTGCTAGTGCCTGTGGCCTTGCGCCACAGGCTTTGCCATGCGTAGTCCAGCACCTGTGGCTGAAACCCTGTCCTGTTGCAGCGGAGCTTTTTACTGGCCGTTCGTTTGGGCGCGCAACTTTTGAGACCCTGTGCTGTCGCAGCTCATCGTAAACAGACGGCTCGACCATGGAGCGAAGACACCGCAAACAAGACGTGCCTTTTGCGAGGCAAAACTGCTGCGTGAGAAACGGTCCTCACGGCGGAATTACCTCCCTCCCCCCCCTACCCACCTTCCCCCCCGGCATCGTCTACAACAGGAAGCAGCAACAATATGCAGAAACGCACGAGCCCGTACGTAGAGGCGCCGTCACCATGTTTTGTTTATGTATGTATTTACTCATGTTCTTAAGTATGAGTTTGCATGGATTGATTGCCCTACATTTCCTCCAATGCCATGTCTGATATCCCCACGCCAACAGGCGAAGGAGGCAGACTCTTCGCAGCAGCAACTGGTAGCCATGAAGGCAGAGCCCAGGGATGTAAGGGCGTTTAATTGTGGGTTAAAGGGTTCGGAGGGTTAGGATTTGGCGAAAGGCATAGGGGATAAGGGCTTGAGGGTTGGGGATTCAAACTGTTTAGAGATCGCAGTCAGGATTGAGTGTTTAGAGGGGAACAGGTGCGAACGTTGTGGTGATTAGAAGGGCAAGTTCTCAAGATGTTGGGTCCTTGTTTTGCATATACATATTCCTACGAATTACGTGCTCGGGGTGTGCGCAAGACAAACCTTGCTAAACATGATGGCCGGGGAAGAAAAAATGAGAATTGAGGCTGTGAAGAAGCAACCGTGAGTTTGCTTTGTCGATTGCTTGGCAGGTGTGCAAGTCCAAAAAGAGTGTCACTGAGCAGGCGCGGGGTATTGGATGCTGGTGGCCATGCGGCCTTGGAATCTGGATTCTGAAAGTGGGACTTTCTTGAAATGATGGACCCTTGCATTACTTACACTGAAATGATCGGATCTTCATGTGAAGACCATACGAACAGGGCCTTGTCACTTTGGAAATTGTTGTATTCTGCATCGGGCCTTACACAAATCTGCCTTCCTTCCCTGTATGACCCATACTGTACAACTTCCAGAAACCTGCCAGTCTGATGATTGCTTGAGGCCCAGGACGAAGTCATGCTGCTTGAACGGCTGCTCGGCTGAATAGCCTGGGCATGCAAATTTGGAGGGGTTGTCAACATCATGGTCCTTTTTTGGATCCCTATTATAATACCGGCGCCTAATATTTCGGGTACAGGGACCACAATTTTGACAGCCACCCATGTGTATAAGTGTTTCATCCCCCCGCAGGTATGGCTCCTTGTCTAGGATTTACAAGGGTACGCTGGGTCCTCTTTAGAATTCCGCATGGAAGTCTACAGGTACTGTCAAGTGTACCACATGCAGGTGCGGAAAGGCATGTGTGCCCATATTTATGCTAGATGCAGATGTCGTCATGGCTATATCACAACATAGGTTCGGATTAATGTACCAGTCCCCGCAAAACCCCACAAGTCATCAATTTTGGACACAAATCAGCACCCCCAAAATCCTTCAGCGGGTAATGAAGAATTTCGGACAAGCTTGGTACAATCCGGAGTTCTGTATCCTGCAGATGTATACCTGTTGTATCTCCCTATCTTTGGAGTGTATGTCTATCTGTCTATACATACATGCATTTGCCGATGCAATGAGATGAGGATGTGTATGCGGTCCGTCTACTGATAAATAGATCTGTACACACGCGCGCTAAATCGCACACAAGCCAATGAGTGCATTTGTATGTATTTACGCATGTATGTACCTACGTATGCATGTTAGTAT